TGTGCTTTCAGGGATTCCCAAAGCAAAATCTTAAGGGGGAAAGGGAACTAAACCAAAGCAAACACACTTACATTCTTCTAGTAAAAATATAACAGAAAATACTCTTAAAATGTTTGTGTCTCATAACTGCCAAACTTAAAACATGGTGCCCTGAAACCATATCAGATAGGTTACTTCTTGATGTTATAAATGTTAATCAGATAAATATATCAGACCATTTCCCTGCGATTACGAAGCCTCGAAGAGTCCTTAACTTCGGCACTTTGCTGGCGTGGGGTTCTAGCACTTCAGGGATTCCCAAAGCAAAATCTTAAGGGGGAAAGGGAACTAAACCAAAGCAAACACACTTACATTCTTCTAGTAAAAATATAACAGAAAATACTCTTAAAATGTTTGTGTCCCATAACTGCCAAACTTAAAACATGGTGCCCTGAAACCATATCAGATAGGTTACTTCTTGATGTTATAAACGTTAATCAGATAAATATATCAGAACATCTCCCTGCGATTATGAAGCCTCGAAGTGCCCTTAACTTCAGCACTTTGCTGGCATGGGGTTCTAGCATCCCAAGGCCTACCTGCAGCGTGTTGTAGTCTCTCGTGAAGGGCACCATCAGCTCCCAGAGCGAGGAGAACACCACCAAGGCCGTGAACTCCAGCTTGTAGTTGGTGGCCATGTGCTCGAGAGCATGGTGGAGCCCATGGACAGCCAGGTGCTTGCGCTGGTACTCCTCGGAGCCCTCCACCGACACGGGCCGCGTCATGGACAGCGACACGTCCATCACCACCACCGTCGGCATGGCGGCCTCTCCTCACAGCTCCCAGGACGGAGGAGAACAACTCACTGCGCGGAGAAGGGAAGAAGGAGGCAAAGGGTTATCGGGATGGCTACCTGGAGCGACGCGTCGCGCCCGCAGACCCAGACCCTGCGGGGTGAAGGCCTCGCAGCCAGCTCCACCGGGCGCCGAGGCGCTGCTTTGCCTCCCTGCCACAACAGTGGGATTTGGCCAGGATTAAGCAGGAATATGGATGTAAAGAGGGAGATGGGGACAGAGGGCCTGGAAACGGTGTGTGCGGCCTGCAGCTGCTTGCAAAGCGGGGAAGCCGGTGGGAGGAGGCGCGGGGTGAAGCCCCAGG